TTTTGGTTTACCTGTGTACTTAGATGCCTCCTTGTTCCAGTGTCCTAGCATTTCTGTTGGACTTGCTTTCACATTATCTTTAAAACCTGACTCTTTAATAATACTGGTTAAGAGGTTTAAGTACTTAATGTGTGAAGAGGTGGTACGTGTGCCTTTTGCTCTGATAACCGTTTCTGGGTGTGCAGATCAAATAATTGTGGAGCTGTACGTAGCGGGTAGCTGCAGTTTGGCTATCGTAATAACTCAGTGCCCAGACCTGATTGTAACTCATTTCTCCTGAAAGAAGCATTCTGTTCTCCTGACTTGGGTGGGAGGATGTGAAGGTTTTTGTGTCTGAACAAATGGTGAAACTGGAAAAAAGCCTCAACCAGGTGAATGTGTGGTAATGATCAGTTGAAAATAATGATTATGAACTTCTGCACTTCATTTTTTTTAAATGAAGTATAAAGGTTAAATCATGCCTGCTTGAATTCTCATAAGATACCTTGGCAATAATTTTTAGATTGTATTTGAAAATACATAGACAGGTCTAATCATATTCATGATGTCAACTTCTCTCTTTCTTTGGGAGTGGAACTGAGAAGGGAAGTGAGAGAAATCGTAATGCCTGCCTACTTCTGGGTTTGACTAGAGGAGCAGGAATAAGATGTGTGTATATTCTGTGTCCTGAAAGCTGACTGAAACTGGAAAAAAGCCTCAACCAGGTGAATGTGTGGTAATGATCAGTTGAAAATAATGATTATGAACTTCTGCACTTCATTTTTTTTAAATGAAGTATAAAGGTTAAATCATGCCTGCTTGAATTCTCATAAGATACCTTGGCAATAATTTTTAGATTGTATTTGAAAATACATAGACAGGTCTAATCATATTCATGATGTCAACTTCTCTCTTTCTTTGGGAGTGGAACTGAGAAGGGCTTGCTTAGTGAGAGAAATTGTAATGCCTGCCTACTTCTGGGTTTGACTAGAGGAGCAGGAATAAGATGTGTGTATATTCTGGGACCTTTGTATGTTACTTCATGGTGTGACGCTGCTTTCAAGTTGCCTGTCAATTAGTGAAAGGTGCAAAAAACCATCTGGGGAATGCAGGGGCTGTAACTGCAGTGCTGTTCTTCCCAGCTTCATTTGCACTGAAGTGTTCCTCTTGAACTTCTGCAGGCAGAGTCATCATCCTTGAGACTTGTCTGAAGTCCTTATAATTTCAACTGTTCTGAGAAGCTGTTGTGCAATGTTCAACACCTTTTCTGTGTACAAGTAGTGTTTACAAGCACTTAATGTGCTTGGGGTATTGCACTATGTGGCAGAATGGCGTATGGACGGTGTTCTAACTGGAGAGACCTGCTTTCAGACTTCTCTTTGCCTGGGATGCTTACTGCCAACTTGCCTTTATCATATCTGGCCCAGACTCTTCAATTAGGGTTCCTGTCTCCTGCCAGAAGCCTGGTGGCCTCTGTTTGTTAATTTCTGGAGACTTGAACATTTTAACAGGAACAAGAGTATTTGAATCTAATTTGAAGTCGTGGGTATCTGCATTTTCTGCTAGGAAGCTGAGAACAGGTGGCTTTAGTGAGTAGCTCTACAGAAATGTTTTTAGCTTTTATTTGACTTGTAAACAGTTCAAGATAATAAAGGACCTTTAATGTCTGATGGCATACTGGGTGGAGATGAAGCTTTCCCATACTGGATGTAATAAACTTACTTGCATAAATGGACATATCGTGATACTCGTTAAAAAATAAAAGCAACAAAAAAAATCATCTTAAGGTGTGATTGCAGTGGAGCTGACACTTTTTCTCAGGTTTTCAACTTGGATTGGACAAATAATGGATGGGGCTATTCCTTTGTCAGCCATTGTAAAGTGAATGTTCCCCTTTTAGCTTAAATGACTTCTTTCTGAGATGAATCACTAAAAAATTCCCTATGGAAGAAGCAGTAAACCAGTATCAAAGGCAGCTAATGCTCTTCAGCCCATGGTGCTGTAACCTGGATTTCTTTTCTGTAGTACAATGACAGAAGCAGCTGCTTCGGTGGGTGGCATGGTACAGTGAGAATGAGGAGCTGCCAGTGAGTAAAGTTACTGGAAATCCAAGCTGCAGAGCTCGCCAGAACCCATTGAAGATAGTGTATTTGCTTCTACTGTCCTAATCCAGATTTAAACATCTGTGTGATTACTGTATTTGGCAATATACATGATGTATTAGCCCAGTCTGCTTTAGGCCTGTGTAAGTGCTTCTCAGATCCTGCTAAAAACATTCTTGGCATCACTGAAAACAAGATAAAAGGACTTGCTCATTGGCTTTCCCCTCTAAGTTCTCCAAAATTAACTTCTAAACAGCATTCAAGTTCTAATAAACAGGAGGAAGTAGTGATATACTACAAGTAAGATGAGAAGCACTAAAAAAAGCTCTGAAAAGAACAACCTTTTTTTTTTTTTTTTTTTTAGGCTTCAGTTTGTTGTGATTTTGTACCGAACTCAAAAATTAAGTCTTTGAGAACTTGGGCTAGTGTATAAGAATAGTCAGAAGTGGCTGGATTCTGTCCATCATGGAGGTCATTCAGTGTGTGTACCCTATATCCTTTAGATTCTGATCTCTAAAGAACACAAAGATCTCTTGTCACATAGGTTGAGATGCCACTACATGTAATTTTTAGATTGCCTTGGGAAAGTAATTAGTTTTCATTCAAAATGAATAGAATATTTGCTCTCTAAAGTGAATTTTATATCAACAACAATAGAGAAAACCCTCAGGCTTGCTACTGGGGAATTTCATAGTCTCTAGAAATTTTAAGACATTTCTTACTGAGTCCCTGTAGACCATTGCTATCACTATTATCTGCAACTTCTCTGGCAATTGACAGGTTCATTGTAGTCTTCTCTACAGGAGTTCTAATGGATTCCCCTTGTGTGTTATCAGAATGATGGCAGCTGCTATAAGGAGGAAAGAAAATAGAATCATTTCCTACCTGGATGATCGGTTCACTCAGGAAATGCCTGAGAGATTCAAGCCACTGCCTGAATTGGATCAGCAAAAGCAATTTGTCTGTCTGTGGCTATTTCCATTACTGGAAGTAGTAGTCAACAGGGACAAGCATATTGTAGGCTGAGATTCATATAGGAGCAAAGAAGTTTCAAATACCCAGGATCACTGACTTCTCAGCTGACTTCTTAAAAATCAAAGTAGTCTTTTCCCTTCTCTAATGTGGTTTCAGATGCGTAACTCGTGAACATTCAATCTTCCTAGGCTATCATGCTCTAGCATTCTACACAGTGGACTGATCTCAAGTTGCACCAAATAGTAGCTTCCTGAAAACTTAGGAATTGGATGTGGGTAGACTGAGCTTTATCCTGAATTGGTGAGCTGGGGAGAAAAAGCAACTTACTTTTGTATAGTGGATGCACCTGTCTTGAAATATCCTTCTTTTATGAATATTTATAGAAAAAATGGTATGTTACAATTGTTATATAGTAGTAGCTGTAGCTGTTCAGAGTGCTGCTATTGGGCAGTTTTAAAAGGCACTTGTAATCGGTGCAAATTCACCAGGGCATTTCTGGAGAAGCTTCCAAAAATTCTAATCTGTGTGCTGCTGGCTCTCACTCAGAGCTGTCATGCAACCTGTCAGTCCAGGTCATTTTGATTTGACCAACAGAAAGGACATTTAAAGGAAACTCTAGGTTTTGTGTCAGAAGAATAAAGGCTATAACTGCACAGGGCCAGGGTTCTTTAGTTTCCAGCTGTCTGTGGTGCAGTAGTAGTGCCTCCTGGGGAGCTGATGCAGAGCCCAGTTGCAGGGTACTGGAGCGGGAGGTCCCAAGTGGCTGGCTGGTGCTTAGCTGCCCGTGAGGGTTAAACCACAACAGCAGGCAACTGTTCTTTGCACTTGGTTGTGGTTTGAGGATCCTGACCCATGGGTCAAAGCTTGCAAATATACTTGTAACAACAGTAAGTAATTTTTTAAATATAAACTTTGATTAGAGGGGAGGAAGAAAGATGAGAAGTGATCGGGCAGTAAAAGCGTAAGGTTCTATGGGATTCTTTCTTCCTTTCCTATTCCCCAGAAGGAAACCAAGTGTGTGAAGGTGATGAGTTGTAAAATCCATCTCCATGTGTTCTGTTATTGGTTAAGCAAGCATGAAAGGTAATTTTTCTGATATATGGAAGAGCAGATATTGTTAGTGCGGTTGTAACTACTGTGGTTCGGTTTGGTTTCAATTAATTCGTTCCTGTAATCTGTGGATTACAGGTTAGCTCTATTTTTGGAAAAGCAGGCTAGGGGGAAGACTTTGGAACAGCTTGGCCCGGAGGTGGCAGATGGCATTCTTTACTCTGTACCAGCTTTCTAGGGCAGCCGTTGCTAGTGGTGTTGAGATGTAAAACGACACAGCCATTTGCTAAACTTTTCCATTGCTTCAAGGAAAAAAAGTTGTAGACTCTTCCTTTTATGCACTTGTCCCTTCCTGAATATTTTGGTGTTTTTATTCATGTGTTTTTCTTTTTTTTTTTTTCTTTTTTTTTCTTCACTTGCGTGCTTCCTATTCAGCTTCAGGTATACGATATGTTCTCTGTGAGCACTTCCCATACAGGAGGTTATTTCTGTAGTAAACAAAAGAATTTAAGGAGTTGTGAGGGGTTTTTTTTTGAGGGTGGAGATAGCTTCAGACATCTTACAGACATTATAATTTCTCTGAATGCTTCAGAAGACCCCCCATGTGTCTAACTGCCTTGTGTTTTCCATGCTGAATTGGTTTAGGATGTGGGGTTTTCTTTGTTTTAATTTATATTTTCAGAAATTGAAAGAGTTGTGAATATTAACATGGGCTTTTCCCCTTTTTCTCCCCCTCTACCCCTTCAAGAACCTTTTTAAAACGCTGGGGTTGTTGGAGTGGTTGAATTTTTCCTGGATTTGAGTGAGAAATTCAGAAGACTGAAGCCCAGGCTCACTGTCTACCTTTCACGGAGGCCCAGCCGTGAGAGGACAGAAGAAGGCACGTGGCGAATCATGACAGCAGACAAAGAAAAAGACAAAGACAAAGAGAAGGACAGGGATAGAGACCGGGACAAGGAGCGAGACAAGAGAGACAAGGTGAGGGAGAGCGAGAACTCGCGCCCTCGACGGAGCTGTACGCTGGAAGGAGGTGCCAAGAATTATGCAGAAAGCGACCACAGTGAAGATGAGGACAATGACAACAACAGTGCCACCACAGAGGAGTCCACCAAGAAGAGCAAAAAGAAACCCCCCAAGAAGAAGTCCCGATACGAGAGAACGGACAACGGTGAAATAACGTCTTTTATCACCGAGGATGATGTTGTGTACAGGCCTGGAGGTAAGAAACACTCACCTTACGTTGTCTTTGAAAGTAATTGAGAGCAGCCAGTTAGTTGGCTGCAGCAGACAGCACAATGTGCTGTTAATTTAAGGTGTGATTGTCCTAGGGGCAGGCTGCCACTGGAGACAAATACGGACATGCATGCAAAAGCTTTTCACTGTATCTTGTAGTATCTGATTTGTTGGAATGACGTTAGCTTCCCTTTGGAAAAGAGCCACCCCTTTTTCTTTCTGCATCAAGTGTCTGTGTGTTGTGTGGAATCGCTGTCCCTGGGAATTTTGAAACTACATTGGATAAAGCACTGAGCACTTTGCTCCAGCTTTGAATCAAGACCTGATTTGATAAAATGACATGTCAGAAAGTCATGTCCACAGGTTTTTCTGCAAATCTGTGATTTCTTTATAGAGCTCCTCTCCTGTCTTCTGCTGGAAGTATAAATCAGGTGACTTAAGATCTCATACCTGTTAGACCATAGATTTCCCCTCCCTCATTGATAGCTCCCCGATGCCTGCGGGCAGCAGCTTAGCTAATGGTCAGAGCAGACCCAGTCAGCAAGTGTCTGGCACGTTCTGGGGACAGAAGCAGAAGCTTGCAGTGTGCTCTGGATGTCTTGAACATGCCTTTTAATTACTGCCAAGTTCACATAAGGTTTTTAGGGTCTCATGTAAGGTTTCAAGGTCTAACCTGTGGCTGCTGCCAGTTAACTTCCTCATAATGAAATTGTACTTGAAAATTACATCGTTCAGCGTTCTGTGTTCCTCATCTTTGAGCTAAAACTTCTGTGCTCATCTACACAGCATTTTGGAAATTGATTGCAGTTGTTTGTTCCACCAGAAGGAATAGTTATGTTTGGCTTCACTGTTTAAAGCACTGGCTGGAGGGCTCTGGTAGTTCTATGTTACTTTACTGTAAAATGGTCAGCATGCTGTAGTAACACTGCTGGAGCAAAGTGGAGATGGATTCAAACTAAAAACCGTGGAAACTAATGAGGTAAAAGATTTTTGATTCTTTTCATGAGGTGCCATATATCTCAGCTACTAAAATCACACTGTATGAGTACAGACATAAATGTTTTAAGTGCTCTATCCAGTTGTAGTTACTCTGAGTGCTCTAAAATGCTAGTTGTATGTGGGGGCATTACCAGCTGCAGATAGAGATGGGCTGAATTTCTGCTGTTTTTGGAGGTGGTGTTCTTGTCCTTCCATGTGAAAGTTGTGAAGTGTTTTCACTTAGATCAAACAACGTTTGTCAGAGTAACTTCTCTATTGAAATGCTTCAAATACTACTTTAAACCATTGAAAAAATAAGTTTTTCTGTTGCTCCGGGCTCGTAGTTGAGTAATACTTGTTGCCTGAGCAGTAGCCATAGGGAGCTTGCAAAAGCACCAGCTTTGGCAATCTTGTTTTCAGTGTTAAAGGATGAAAAATAATTGTGAATCTGCTAAGAACAGCTGTTGTGTGGGCCCAGTAGTACAGTGCAAAACAGTGGCTTGATAGCAAAAAGGCTTTGCTTTAAGTTGGAAAATTGGTTTGTGATCAGTTTTATGCTGTAGAAGGGCAGGGAAGTATTAGCACTCTTTATCCAGCCAGTGCAGTGCTTGGGGTACCTCTGATGGAGCAGTACTTGGATAGAGAGAGATTTGC